TGACCTGTATTCCTGAAAAGCATATATATTGCTGAGGAACGATATTTTCCTCAGATTTAATCCTGTGTCGACCGCGGTTACTTCTCAGAGAACCTTGTGTACGTTTAACAAGATTCTCTTAAGACTTGTCTGTTTTTGTTATATTTGTCTTGAACAAATTTGGTTGTGAATAAAATATATTCTTTTATATATATTCGATCTGAAGTTGTTTATTTAATATCAGACAACAAATGCCTTTGAAAAGATTAACAATAGAGATTTAGGAATACAAAAGGATTCATCCTTCCTGTACTTTTCCAAACTTGAGCCTTCTCAACCTGGGGTGAATGAATGAATGTATGAATGAATGAATGAATGAATGAACAGAACACTTTATTTGCTGCTTTTCAGGCGCGTTCACAAGGATCAATCAAGATTTCCACATTGTATTTTCTTTTATTTTTGTTATTCATTTGTGCTCTGTTTCCTGCTCTGAAGTGATTAAATGGATTTGAGTGGATTTGGGTTGGGTGGGGAGGGGATTTGGATGTGGAAATCTTGATTCAACCTTGAGAACTCTGAAAACCTGGGGTGAATTTCAGTTACCTTTGGTAAAACTGAAATGTGCCACCTTTCAAAAAATCCCAACATTGCTGCAGGGTAGCCATGGAACCCTTCTCTGTCCCAGGGTTCAAAATCCCAGAGCGCAATTTATTTATAAGCATACCCCCAAAATTAACTTTGAAAGGGTTTGATCCTTTATAATGAACCACCATGTAAACTTAAAGAATGAATCAGTTTGGCTACCCCTGTAGAATTGCCATGTGCAAGTGTGCAACTAAATCATAGAAGGACCTCATTTCTCCAAAATTCAAAGGTTGGTTCATAAGTTTTGAGGCTTTTTGAAATAGATCCAATAACGCAGTTTCAAAAATGCAAAAAATCTCACTTTGATAGTCCTATCATTTGGCAACACTTTAGTGCAGTTCAACATACATTCCACAGAGTTAACTGCATTTCTTCATGCAATGAATCCAAAACTCAAAGCAGTTCCAAAATTTGAGTTCTGGAACAGCTGTTGAAACTCTGTTGCTGGATCTATCTCAAAAAGTCTCAAAACTTATGAACCAACCATCGTGTAATGCATAAAAATCTGTTAGTTACATGCCAAATTTTGACTAATGCAGAAAAAACAGGTGACTCACATTCGCTGCTGCGTGACTTTGGCATATCCGTCTGAATCATCCAGGAGCATTTCTAAACACTGCGGTGGCAAAAGGTCTATTTTCACTTCTGTGCTTTGAGATGAAGTTGGAGCCAATAGGAAGAAACTGCTCCGTCGACTTCCTGACACTGTCGGTGGCACTGACAGTGTCATGGATAGAGCTGCTGACGAGCAGCTTTCCAATGAATATCGTCGTCCACTCGACATTTTTCAATGAGGGATTTTAAAATAATAATTTATTCACGAAACAAAAGCTTCAAAGTTCAAAAATAATTGGTGTGTTGTGTCCCGCGGTGGAAAATTTAGAGTCCAATCAATTCTAAAGTTTGAAAGTTTCTTGCACTGTTTGATTTTTGGATCTGTGGACGAAAAATATTCTTCAATATGTTGGGAAATAGAATGTGGGTGCTGTCAGAGAGAATACATTAAAAACAAAAAAATCTTGAATTCACATATTGAAGTTGGGAACCTTCAGAATTTTTGTGGCCTTGCCTGGACAGGGGCTGCCTTTCTATTTTGTTTAATTTGGGATGCAATTTCCAAAAAAATGTCGCCATCTTAAATTCATTCATGAATAAAGAACTTAGATTTTTCAAGTTACTGTTTGATGCATCAGAAGCCTTGTGCATCAGTGATATAAGAATCTTTGGGGAAGGTTTTCCTGATTATTATCATTGAAGGAAAAGTTAGGTTTGGAAAAATGAGAATATCTGAAGATCTATCAGTCAAATCAATTTTTATGTATCATGAATTCATGGGAAAATTTAGAAAACATCTTCAGCTTCAGTTCAGCTGCTTTTGGAACTTTTAAAGCCTAAAATGGGCAGAGTTATTTGCTTCAGTATTTCATGCATTGGGAGTTGCACCATATTTGCAAAGCATTTCTGTTTGGCAATTTAATTTAGTTTTGGAAGCCATTTTTCATTTCACCAATGCAAGATTGTATTTGCTGATTTTGTTTTTGGTTCTGTCTTTTTGATACCTATGCTGATGAGAGCAACTAATAAGTCATCTTTTAACCCTTCTGCAGCAAAGCGTTCTTTCCCATTGTGGGACTAAGGCAATTTTTTTAAATTTAAACAAGTGGTAAATTGATCTACCCACAGTAGGTAGTTGACATTGAGGGGATAACACAGCACTATAGTTCTTCACCAGGGTGCAAAATTTGCGAGACTGGAAAAGAGCCTTGCGGTTTCGGGGAAAATAAACGTTTCCAGAGGGTCAAGCCAGGAGCTGATCATGATATGGCCGAAATATGGGGCCTGGAATTGACCAAACTCTCGCATAACGACCCACATCGGAAACCGCATGTTCTTGCCTCTTTTCATTCCTTGCTTCACGTTTTATTATAGCCAGAATAAGGAATTATTTTCACAGGAATAAAACCCGGCGTTGAACAACCTTGACACTAGCCTTGTTATAGGGAACATTTGGCCAAGATGATAACATATAGTCCCAAATGCTCTTGTAAATTATTTGATGTAAATTAACCATTCTGTGGCAAAGTCAGACCTTTTTTGCAAAGTTTGGGTGCTCTGCAGAATAAAATTAGAAAAAATGACAGTATGCGCAGGGTGAAGTTGAAAATGAACCTGGTGTTTCCACATAAAAATTTACTCAGAATTGAGAAAAATGAATCTTCAAGGATGAGTTTTCCTCCCTTGGCTTTTTTTGTTGCATAATTCAAAGGTTAGGCTTTAGTTTAAAAGCCAGGATCTTAGTTTAGAGGTCCTGAAAAAAAATGTCTGACTTCTGAATTCCAGGATGACCTGCTATCCCTGGATAAAATCTGACTTTGCACTTCCCCACTCTGCAGGGGTTTCATAACCTTCTAGAAAAAGGAAACATGGAGCCATGCCCAAGAAAAGTCTGACTTTTTCCTGGAAAGGACCCCTTCCCAGGGGAAGGATTACATGTGGTGTTATCTGTTGCAGGTAAACTATATGTTGCCCAAAACACAACAGTACAACATGGCATACAAAATACAATGTCATATTAGTTGACAAAGAGAAAATACTGTACTGTACAAACATTAAAAAAACATAATTCAAAAGAATCTTCCACAAAAATTGACTCTGATGATCCTGATCTGAGCCTCAGAGAGACCAGACCTGCTTTTCTTGTGTGATATTACTAAACCTGAAATTATTGGAGAAGATCACATAGTTTGTTGAGGAGTTTGAAAACCCTCAGCCCTGAAACAGCCAATTGTGTCTACCACACTTTATTTCACTGAAATCCAAGTCTTTGTCTTTGAGGTCTCTGTGGGACCCCCAACATTATTCTGAGTTATTCAAAAATAAAAGGTTACACTAGTTTTCCACAGAGCTTCTGAGACTTTTCGGATCCACCCAAAATTATAATAAGGTCAAGAAAAATTGTTAGGTCAAACAAAGAATCTAGGGAACTCTGTAAGAAGTTTTTTTTCCAAAGAGAATCCATAAGGAAGCATTACTTTATTTCAAAATTTCAAAAGTTATGCTCACATGTACCCTATTTTCCATTATTAGTAAGAGGGCCATTCTCTTGATTGGCCTATAGTATTACAGTATATAATAACAGTGTATTCCTCTTCAGTTTTCTTTTTCATATGCCCAGTTGATCGCTTTCTGACAATATTTGTGATCCCAAAGTATTTTTATGGGTAGAGCTGCGTATGCAGGCTCCCCGGTATTTCTGGTGTGTTTCTTTCTCTCTCACTCGTTTCCTTTCTAAAAGGGGCTTCCATAAACTGTGCATCGTCACGAGTTCGGCATAGGAGGGCATTGCTGTCCTCCTGCGGGAAATATGTGTGTGTGTGTGTATTGTCAGCAAAGCTGACCACCGTAGTTCTTTAACTCTGTGTGTCTCTCTGCTTTCGTCAGCATTCGTGCCCAAGCACTCGCGACTGGTAGTTGTTGTGCGCTGTCAATAAAAGCTTATTGCCTCTCTACGAATCCTGGTTGCTATTTTATTCGAACTAGCTAAAAATACTTTAGCCCGCAAAGTACTGAACCCGTTGGCAGTCCATTTCCTCAACGGTTCACAGCCCAATGCCCCCATTATTTGCTGGGTGTGTGGGACCCCCAACATTATCCTGAGTTATTCAAAAATAAAAGGTTACACTGGTTTGCCACAGAGCTTCTGAGACTTTTGGGATCCACCCAAAATTAAAACAAGGTCAAGAAAAATTGTAAGGTCAAACAAAGAATCTGGGGAACTCTGCAAGAAGTTTTTTTTCAAATAGAATCACTAGGAAGCATTAATTTATCTCAAATTTTCACAATTTATGTTCAAATTTACCGTATTTTCCATGATCGGTAAGAGGGCCATTCTCTTGATTGGCCTATAGTCTTACAATAACAGTGTATTCCTCTTCAGTTTTCTTTTTCATATGCCCAGTTGATCACTTTCTGGCAATATATCAAGAAGCCATACTTCTTCCTCAAATTATTTCATTTCAGGAAAGCATGACCCTCATATATTTCTTCATGAACTCTCATGCAACGAAAAGGGACATTGTAGAAGTTGCATTTAGTACACGTGATATATATTTTACTTGTAGGATTAGGAGAGACATGCTTTTTGAAATTTTGAATAACTGCATTGAAGTTTACGATGATAGCATCACCTCCACCCTTTTCTCCTTGTTTTTTTATGCAGACATTTTTGGAATTACTTGAAAAATTATTTTCAATTGTTCAAAATGTGGAAAATGTATGTTGCTTCAAATTTCTGACATGAGCATGTGTATTTAAATGATTCCAAGGAGTGAACAGCTTTAACTGGATGGAATTTTCTCAGGTGTGCCACACCACCATTTCTACCACCACCACCACCATTTTCTAATTGCCACTTCATGAGTGGCAATTATTTTGTTATTGATCATGTTTATCAAGAGAAGAAAACAAATAAGCAAAAGGAAATCCAATGAACCCTCCCGGAAGTCTCACGTTATTAGCCAAATTTATTCTCTATATCACAAAAACATTGGCAAAGTACAGAATAACGATTGAAAACTCCACTCAAAACATTCAACAACAAAATTGGCTGCATTCTCACGTCGATGACCACTAATCAAAAAAGGAAACAGAAAACGGAAGTAACTTCGGAAATAAATCAGGAATTTACTTTTTGAAGAGGATTTTGAGAGTTTCTCATCTTTTTCTTTCTCTCGTACCTCATGCAATAAATAAATAAGCACTTGATTGGAAGGCTGAGAATAAAAACTACTCAGAGAAAAAAACGAGGAATTACTTAAAGTCCACAGAGAAAAGCGACTGAAGTGGCAAAACGGGTTCTTGAGTCGCGAAAGACGGAAACGGAACTGATGTACTACTACTCTGTTTCACTTCCGCTTCCGGAGAATCAGTCTTGATTGTCGTCGTCGTCGTCACTCCTGTCGAATCTCCAGCACCGACGGAAGCGTCGACACTGTTTTTATTCTCTTCAGCGTTGCCATTTTCATCATCATCATCATCACCATCTTCTTCTTCTTCTCCTTCCTGGTCTTTCGTTTTGTGTCCTCTTTCCGTTGCTGGTTCGGAAGTCAGGGGCATTTGAGCAACCAAGTCGTGAATGTCTTCGAATAACTGTGACGAACCCTCGTCGTCGTTGTCGTCATCGTCGTGGGATATCCTCGATTCACTGTCGTCAAATCGATGATCTTCAGATTTGTCACCATCCTTGTCGTCATTATTGTTGTGTGATGAAGAATCGGCAGTGTTGCCAACGACTGGAGACTCCAAAGCCCCGCTGTCAATGGGTCCACCGATGTCGATGGACTCGATCCGGAGCTCCGTTGGTTTCACGTTCACACTAAGTAATTTTAGAAAATTACAGACCGTTTATTCACAAGTTATCTTTTTTCCAGTGGTCCATAGATCCTGGAAATTTACTAAGGTGAGCTTGATTTGAATTTTTTCAACATACATGGTACAAGACAAGAAGGGGAAAATTAGAATGCTTATTTATTAACTGGTCAATTTGAACAAATATGTCTCAAGAGTCAGTTTTCGGGCTGATTATTATTTCTTTTTTTATTCAAAAAATCTGAAAATAAAAATAAATTTTTTTGTTGATTTGGTAAAGTTTATACATGTAACATATATGCCATTTTATATAGATTAGAAAAACAGGACCTTCTTGAGGGTTTGGAAAGCCATGAAACCATTATCAAAACATCATAAACAAAACTTGATTGATTGAAAAATATATATCAAAGGATTTTTCATTTTAAAAATTAGAAAACATTTGTTCATTCAATCATATATAAGTACAATGAAGTACTGGATGAAAATTTCAAACTACTTCTATGTGAAAAAAGGATCTTTTTAGGTTGTTTTTAAAAACATGAAGTCATTATCAATATAGGCCATCACTGTTTTGGTTGAAAAAAGCTTTAGATATGTTTTGTTTATTTTGAAAATTACATAAAAATTATTGTTTATCCATTCAGGAAAAGTAATAGTAACAACTGGGATTTTAAAATACATTTTCCTAAAAAAGACAAAACATTTTTGGTGCGCTTGGAAAACCATGAAGCCTAGTTTGAATCATCATCATCAGATTATTCATTGCCAAAAGAGCCTTAAATGTTTTTTTCTCATTTGGAAAATTAGAAACATTTGTTTATAGACTCAGTATAGATGAAATAAACTTACAGCTGGATAACATTTTCAAATAAATTATGCTCAAAGAGCAAAACCTCTTTTAGAGAGTTTCATAAAAACCATGAAGCAACTTTTGAAACATCATCACTATATCCCTTTATTGATTGAATAGGATCATTAAATCATCAACTTTTAAATTAATTTTAGTCAAAGAAATATAACCCTTACATCATTGTATATATTTATTGATTGAAAAAATCATTATATTTGATGATTATCTTTTAATTAAATTCCACTCTTAAAAAATGGATTTTTATTGATTTGGCGGTTGGAAAACCATATATGAACCCATTTTTGCTACATATATCGACATCATCACGCAATTGATTGTAAAAAATGTCTCAAAAAGGAAAATATTTTTGACTTTTGAGAGAGAAAATCGCGCTCAAGTCCATTAACCGAGTCACGATCGACTGCTGAGTGCTGACATAAATACTTCACCTGTACTCTGTTCCCACTTCGGGCTTCTCAGTCGTTGTCGAGGATGTCGTCGACGTCGATGACGACGACGACGTTGTCTTCCGTCTATACATGCCCTGAAGACGTTCCCTGGCCGACATTGCGGGTCTTTGGGGTGCTGTGGGTGATGCCTGGGTACTGCTGCTGCTGCTGCTGGTAACACTGATTCCGGGTTTCGCAGCAGCGGAATTTTGGGGTTTCCACCGCCGCAGGGGACCTCTGGTGGGTGCGAACCGAGTCCTTCCCAGTGGGCTATTGGGACTGGTTATTGCTTGTGGTGGGGTTGGGGTTGTCGTTGTTGTTGTTGGTGATGCCGTTGTGGTTGTTTTGGTTTTTCCCGGGTAGTTGGGTCGGGGTTGTGGGTCATCCCGGCGCTTGTCTGCCACAGATACTTCCGGTTTGCCTACAATATATATGGGAGACAGCGTTTCAATTGGATGATTTTTGCAAGGATGTTTAGAATATCTTAACAAGTGAAAGATTATAGCAGAAATTGTAAAATGAAAGACTTAATCAGACAGACTATGGCAAATACCTAGTTTAACATTGATTTATTTTTGTTTTGAAAGATGAACACAAAATTTTTTCTGATTAGGCTTTCACAATTCAAGAATACCAAGAGACCCAAAGATGTGGACAAAATTGGTGCATCAGGAGTGTCCCTATAAGTTGAGTCTCATTTTCCCTTAGACTTATATCATGTAATTTTAAAGGGTGTTTTATGGACAAAATACTCACCGTAATTCTATGAAAATAAAAATTGTCTCCCAATTTAAACTGATTCAATCAATATATCTCAACACAATATGGACCTTTCGGAATTGAATACATATACCTCTTTACAGTACTGTGCATATAAATGTTGGCTTTCTCTGTAAAAATAACATTCAAGTGAAAAAAGAGAAGGAAATCCCTCTATGCTGGACGTAATTTTTTCAAATTAGCTAAAGGAATGGTAAATTGGTGAGAGAAATGCCCAAGAACTTTTCTTGGATCAGTTTTAGGGTTGGAAATATCTGTTCTTTGTAATTTGGCCTAAACGTATTTGCAATTTTACCACAAAATGTCCCTATGTTGAGTCAGTGTCCTCATGTCAGGCCTTTTTGATTAATTTTTTTTATGGGAAAGTGAGTGTCTCTGGTCCACCTCGTCCACATAAGGTGTCTGCATGTGGGGGGTCTCACTTTTGTTAGAAATTTCAACACACAAAATAAAATCCAACAACCAACAGTAGACACTTGCAAGGTCTCCACAGCTTGAAAATGAATATGATCACACATGGTCAGAGTAGATCCAGAAAAGTACTTCAATGAAAAAATGAAAGGAGATTTCCTTGCAGACTTTCAGAGATTTCCCAAAATAGTCCTTGAAGGACAGCACTTTGCCCAGATGAGAAGACCATGGGAACTTGAGGTCATATCTGGTCTTCACAAGATTCCTCAGAGGATTACCTTAAACCTTGCTAATTTCTTTAACTTGCATCTCTAAGCAACCCCTTATTTAATTTTCAACAGATGTGAATGCAATCAAAAGAGATGAAAATTGTCGAAATTGCATATTACCATCATGATCATCAGAATCATCCTCAGCAGAAGACCCTCCTCTGGTTGGCTTGAACTTGGACAAATACTTTTGCCTCAGATTCTTATACCGCTCAAACGCCGACGCCCTCGACGGTCTCGGCGTCGTCGACGTCGTCACTGTCGGTGTCGTTGTCGTTAAGCTTCCTGCTGGTGAAGACGTTGTCGACATCCCCTGACTTCTCACCGTCGACGAAGTCGTCGTCGTCACGGATTGGAAAGAAATGGACGACTTTGACTTGTTTTCGGTGCTCGGAAGCCGGTTTCGCACTCGTTGTCGAATGGCACTGATGACCGGGGGCACGGGTTTTTCTGGTATGGCTTGGTGCGCTGGCTCGGGTTCCGTGACTGGATGCGGTGACTCATCGGTGTGAGTCGAACCCGGGGTTTCAGGGTGGCTTTCGATCAGGGAGTTGAACCTGTGTGGCTTTTTTTCGTCGGGTTTGACGGGTTCTGGGTCGTTGTATTTGGACTTGGATGAGTAGCTGAATGCGGATTGCGGGAAATGATACGTTTTTCCGGCTGCGGGAAATTAATCAACAATAAATAAATAAAAATACCTATTTGGGGCGGGGGGGGGTTGTTTCATCATTCCTGTTTCCAACAAGAATTGAAAAAAAAAAACTAGATGTTCCGGAGCTATAATCAATATTTCGTACCGAAAAATTTTTCGTTTTTAACACTGCATTTGCGATTCGACAGAAATAAATGAAGGTCTTGTCACAAACTAATATTTCAAAATTACGTGAGCACTTTTTCAAAGCTGAATTTTGGAAAATCGCCTAAACATTTTCATTTATAATATTTTAAGATTATAGCTCATAAATCTGTTTATACAGAACGACACCAAATACATTTTTACTGTGGCCTATTTTTCTCTCATCATCGGTATTCAAATCAAATTGTTTTCAGAAATACTGTCCCACACTTTTAATTTGTTCAGCACATTAAAAGCTTGAGAGTTTTGCTGACACTGACTTTATGTTCGTCCAAAGAATCGTGAGTGCGAAGTTTTAACGGAAAATTTTTGAACCTGAAGGTTTCCGTGAAATATTTCTGAGAAAAAATTCCACGGATTGAATAATTTACACAATAATGTAGGAAAATACTGTATCACAAAAAATTCATAGAATTTGATTTATAGAAGATACAGTTGAACCTATTTAAGTAATTTAACTCAAACTCAAAATGGAACCCATGAAAAAAGTTGGGATGACATAGTTTTTAAATTATGAAAACCAGCAGTTTCTCTGGCAGAAAAAAATAGAACTAATAGAATTACAGAAAAATTAAAATTGGTTCAATGGATTCTAGGCCAGAAACATCTTTGTAAACATACAGTCAACCCCTGCAGAACAGACTTCCGGTACAAAATATTTTTGCTGAACAGACCACCTCTGAGGGAGGCAGTTTTTTGTCTTGCATAACAGTCAAATCTTTGTAACAAGCTTCAGCCTGTTAAAGTGCTTGACAGCAGTGGACATCCATTGGTTTCCAACTGAATTTGCATACCAGACATTTCACATAACAGACTAGTCCGTTGCTCAAATGTAAGCCCATTGTGCCGGGATCAATTGTAGTTGACAGGATGCTGAACTTTATCAGCCAAAAAAAAACCCTGAAGTGTCAACATCTTGGGTCAGACATAATGGCAAGGTTATTCCTGGCAACAATATTCTGCAATGATTTTAATTTCCTACAAGATTATTCCTGTCTGACAAGGTTGGGCCTGACAACGTTGTTCCAGCCACCCCAAGCAAAAGGTTCATTTTCATAAATAAACCTCTATATAACATCAATAGAAAAAAAACATCAGCTCACATTTCTTGCTTTCCCCTTTTATCATGGGTTCCCAAAATAGTAGACCAAAAACATTCAAAATTTGAGTTATATAGAGGTTCTGAGAGGTCTTTGAGTTTTGGTGGTCCATTATTCATTGCTCTATTGGGGTGATTCAAACAGGGATTAAACATGAAATTTACCATAAATAACGTTTTTTTACAAGCTTGGAGAGTTGGTTAGAGTTCCTGCATTTATTTGCAAGTGTACATAAACCAAGAAATTATTATTAATACATTTGAAATTGATGTGAAGTTGGTGGTACCTTACAATTTGATCCTAATATCTTGCCAAACTATAGAGGGTCAAATTGCAAATCAGTTGAACTGCAAGGCACTCCAACCAATTCAAAATATATTTACAAAAATGCAAAATATTGGAAAAAGCAGGTTGAATTGCAAGTCAACCTCCCTGCAAATTCAACCATCAAATTGCAGGATGGTCACATTGCAGGAGGTCCAATTGTGAGGTACCATCACATACATGTATAACACAAAACTCACGTTTTTCGCTGAACCCGTGCCTGGGGGGCACATCTGGACCAAATTCAGCCTTATCCCTTGCATTATTATGGTCTGAATAAGAATGTGTGTTAACGTGATGGTCTTTGACGTAATTGTGCTGCCTGGAAGGTGTCGAAGGAGGATTCTGGTCTACACTCGTCGGTGGAGGCAGGAAGGAAACGTATTCAATGTCCGGAACTAAATTGGGCAGCTCCACGACTTCCGGTAAATCTTGGGCCACCACGATCGGGATCGATGGTACTATGGGTCTCTTGAAGTTTTGTTCCAGCGCGGGACGTGATGGTCTCGATGGTGCTGGTTGGCGCCTGCTTGGTGGTGGTGGTGGTGGTTGTGGTTTCCTGAGACCATGTGGCGAATGGATCCCTGATGGTGACGACGGGGTTTCCTCGTCGGCGTCGGCAAACTGGTAGTCTTCGTCTGGCTCGAATTCCGGACCCTGAAAATTAAAATCGAAAATTATATTTCCGTGCACGCGTTTTTTTTTTCAACACCCATGCATCGAAACACTTCTGAAAATGTATCCCTATTTATTTAAAAAAAACCTATGATCCCTTCAATATTTCTTTCATACCGAACAGATTTTTCATATAACGCACTCGAACATGGAAAATTTGAACTTTTTCTATAGCATCAGAATATTATTCAGAAAAGCCTCATTTTTTTCTCGATCTCAATAAAAACCGGATTTTTTCTTAAATCGAGAAAAAAAAATTTAAGTTAAATTGACTCACGTTTTCATTCTTTACAGGAATCATATTGAAACTCTTCCGAAATTGTGTCCTTTTGAGCAAAATAATTGATGATTTATGCTCAAAATTCAGTGGAACCAATTTCGTTTCGAACACTTTCCGACTTTTTCTCAGGCATTCAAATAGTATGCAAAGATAGGAAACTTTTTTCTTAATCTCAACAAATGCCAGATTTTTTGCAATTGAGAACCAGGTTGATAATCAACAAGATGAGCAAAAAAAAAATGTCAGACGATGTATGGCTGAATGAAACTGGTAGACTTGATGAAAGTTTCCAATGCAAAACTGATCCACAATTTTATTAAACTTCCCCTGGTGTTTTTTTGTGTGAAAAAATTTAAAGTGAGACTTCTAATAAACCGTGTCCGGTCAGCCACCAGCCGTTCAATTCACAGTCGCGCACCCGCCAGCCGTCAAATGCCGGTCCCTCCAATTGCCAGCCAGGGCAGTGCTTGGTCTCTCCAATCCCCAGCCCACCAAACTGTGGTCCGGTCACCCAATTGTTGGGGCACACCAACAATCGGGTGACTAGGATCCCATTGATTCTAAAATCCTGTTTTGCAGTGTTTGAAGATCAGAATGGTTTCCTGCCACAGATGATTTTTTTGTGCAAAATTTCAGCAATGTTAGGTTCGTTCAATTTATGTTGGTTTAATTTAGGTTAGGTTAGTTTAGGTTAGGTTAGGTTAATTTAGGTTAGTTTAGGTTAGGTTTATGGGATCCTAGTCACCCAATTGTTGGGGTTCCTTAACAATCGGGTGACCGGACCGCAGTTTGGTGGGCTGGGGATTGGAGAGACCAAGCACTGCCCAGGCTGGCAATTGGAGGGACCAGCGTTTGATGGCTGGCAGGTGCGCGACTGTGAATTGAAAGGCTGGCAGCTGACCCGGTACCCTAATAAACACAGCAATGAATATACAATCAACATATCAGTAATAATGGATTCATTCACACATTTCAAGTTTTTAAAAGTAGGAGAAGTTTGCAACAAATTGATTTTTTTTAGTTTTAAATAAGTCTTGTTGTCTTAACCAATAATCAAATCAAATTTTAAGATTCATTGATCATACAAATCTGTGACAAATCTGAACTTGCAGTGACTATTGTTGTTGAACATTTGAATTGTTTTCCACGTACTTTCAAAGAGTCAAGAAATACTTCAACAGGATTATACCAGCATGTTTTATTTGATTTCACAAAGCATAGAATCTTTTGGAGCAGAGCAATAACAAGGTTCTTGCAGCAGGCATTTGGTCAGAGTAAGCTTAACATTGTATATCAGGCAGTCCTTTAGATAGACAATCCCGGTTTGAGGTCAGCAACAAAAATAGCAATTCATTTGGATCGTTGTCAACAAACTTGGTTGCATGGCAACCAAGGTAAAAGGTGTAGAGCATAGAAAAGACTAAAATGAAGGAAGTATTAAAAGGTGTGGTTGCGCAGTGGATTAAGAATTGTAGTCAGAATATTTATTAGACTACAGTCTGGAAATATGACTATATAAAAAGTGAGGCAACAAAGAAAGAGAAAAAACTGAAGCAATGGCAGAAGTGCTTTTGAAGATATTTTTCAACAAGAAGATTGAACCCATTATTGGAAGCATTTTTTTGTTAAATTTGAAAAGGTGAATGAATTCTGAAATTGCATTCCGTTTTTTACAGCCTCGAATAATAATTGCGAATTTGACTGAGTATCTGACTGGAAAAAATATCTAGCCCATATAATACATATTATTCATGCTCCAGACTAATTCAAGTTTCACCTGTTGGCAGACGATGAATACCTTAATTTATTTTTTTATTCCCCTTTGGAAAATTGGATTAAAAATCTGGGGTAGTCTCACCTGGAACCCGAAATTGAACTCAAATGCCGGCAACCCGGCGGGTCCAGCACTTGGGGTTTTCCTCCTCTGACTGCCCTCATCTTCGTAATCATTCCCGGAATCCGGTTCAGAAATCTCCTCATCCCGAACCCCGGGTTCTTGTGCCGCCACTGGATCCCCAAGCTGTTGCTGGTTATTATTCGACCCTCTTAAAGCCCATTCATCCCCATTCGGGCGATGAGCAGAAGAAGAAGAACCTGAGGATTGTGGCGGCGTCGGTGCTGGTGGTCGTCTGCTGTTGTTGCCGCCGCCGTGGCGGCCTTTGTTGGCGTGATTTGGCGCCCGATGACGTTGGGGTTGCGGGTTGCTGTTGAAGGCGGATTCCTGGCGGATTTTTTGCCGGATTCGGTGGCTTTCGTAATTACCGCTGCTTTTGCGCCCAGGGTTGCGAGGGATTGGTGAAGAGGGTTCTTGGGGTTCTTCTTCTTCTTCTTCTGGGTCCTCTGACGAGTCGGAATTGGGGGAGATGATGGTGTATGGTGGACCTCGGATGTCTTCGTCTCGGGGTTCATCTTGGATATTGGTTATTTTCACTGCGACAAAATGGTTGAATGATTTATCGATTTGAATGTGAAATAAACTTCACAGGAAGAAATGTATTAAGGCGATTATTGGAAATGAATTTGAAACAAAGCCGAAGATGAAAAAAATTCATTATTCAAGTTAGCTCCAAAAAAGTCATCTTACATGATTTTTGAGTCTGCATGTGATCGTAGTCCCTTTTATTCTGCAGATTATGGCTCGACCTGATTACATCAATTGTTCACACTATCATTCATAAAATTCCTGTTCTCTACAGGAATTTACCTCGTCGTCAATTGAGAAAAGCATAAAAAAATGTTTCACATATGTTTTCCTGCTTTTCTGAAAAAGGTGATCAAAATGTATCCCAAGATTCAATACCCAATTTCCTTAAAATTCAGCTAGTGTAAGAGGATGGTTAGAGACAAAACGTGTTGAGCAAAGAAGGTCTACAACTTTGCCATGAAAATTCTGATTGTGTAACCCAGTACAGTACTGTAATTTATTTGCTAACCTTATTTGTGTTGAATTAGGCCATTAATCATTCTGCAGAGCTGGAAAATATTTGCAAAATTTGATGCCATGGAGGAATAGGAATAAACAAAAAACTTTGTCTGATCAAGAGAGCCAAAGTCTAGAAAAAGTCACAATACATTTTTCCTTTTTTTTCTGCCCAAAATTGCTGCTAAAAAATTATTCACTGCTGGATGAAATTTTTCCCAGCATTCCAGCACAAATTACAGTAAACCCCCACACCACAGACCTAATTCATGCAACAGACTAGTCTGTAATGTGAAAAGTCTGTTGGACAAATTCCATAACGAAAAAAAATTAAAATCTTGACCATTTTCCAAAAATTTTAAACCAACAGAAGCCTGTCGGGCAGATTTTCTCCATTAGGCAGGAACAAAAACTGCCTCCAGAGGCAGACTGTCAAGTGAAAGGGTGTAGTCCAAAAGCCTCCCCCTGCCAAAAGCCCCCTAGATCAAAAGCCCCCCAGAAAGCCCCCACTGCCTAAAGCCCCCCTAGATCAAAAGCCCCCCTACCAAAAGGGTCCCCCTCCCTAGGTTCAAAAATTGGGGATTACAGGTATTCTTGTAACTCTTGATGGTAAGCTGCACCTTTCACCAGCAGGCTATGCACAAGGCCAAGTACCAATATGTTGGTAAGTTGAGCATATGAAGGGATTCTTCACCTGCAATGGTCATCAGTGATTCCTTGAATTTCAAAGCATCACCATTTGCTGACTTCTGCAAAATCAACAGTTCACCTTGTTGGTCCAATGGCTGGTGCACTTCAGATCATCAATAATCAGAAGGGCAGTCAAATTGCATACTACAATGGCTATTTAGAAGAAAATGACATGGAGAGCATCAGTGACAGTGAGGAAGAGGCAGCAGAAGGCAATTTTGAAGATGATTATTAAACAGTCCTTTTGAGGACTAATGAAACCAAATAGCCCTTCTCAGGGCCACCAAGTACTAGTATGAAAGTTGCATCCAATTATTAAAATTTTGAGGACTAATGAAACCAAATAGCCCTTCTCAGGGCCACCAAGCACTTTTATGAAACTTGCATCCAATTATAAAAAAGTGGTGGGGGGCTTTTGGCAGGGGGGCTTTTGACCCAGGGGGGCTTTTGGCAGGGGGGCTTTTGGTTGGGTACCCAAGTGAAAATTCCTTATAGGCTGGAGGTCCACTATAGGGGGAGAGGGGTTTAGTGTACAGCAGAAAGTTGTCAGCTTGTTTTGAGGTAATTTTTATTGATTACAAAATCAGAAATAATCTTCAAGAAGAAATCATTCAGTATACACCTATAAGAGTTTTTCCTTGTCTTTTTTGAATCTGAATAATTTCTTGAATGCAGTAGAAGTGTAGATTTAAACTGCAATCACAGAATAATTTTGGAAAAATTTTCAAGTTTCAAAATATCTATATGCAAAATTTTCTACAACTGCACATGCACAAAAAGTCATTCCAACCACCAGGAGAATTTACTGTGATCCATCTGCATAAATGTACATATCAGATGCCAAGGAATAGTAACATTATCTCATTTTTAATTCATTTGTGAATTCATAAATATAGTCCCTATATACTTTTGAAAGGAAAAGACAATTTAGTGAACTTCGCCAGAACTTTGCGGCCAATTTGTGGTATGAAACCGGCACACAGCAATGACTTCATTTTCAAAATCTCATCTCTCTCAGTGGGGAGAAAGGTGTCCTGGTTGGAAGGTACGACATCTATGCACCAGATGCTCCGTAGAAAAAAAAACCCCATTGAAATAAAATAAAAACGACAACCCTGGGCCAGCAGCAGCAGAGTCAATCATTTTTCGTCGGTGCGTTTGTGAGTGAAATTCATTCCAACTTTTATCTTTTTCTTTTGCCTACATTTCCAGATGAACGAATCGACATTTATTGCAAAGCGGTGGAAAGAAGGAAAAAGATAATGATGAACTTATTGCCGCCATATGTGCCGACTGTCTGCACGAGAGGGACGCCTCATTTGGGTCAATCACAAACCGCAGTCGCCCATCAGCCAGGACACAGAGACAGAGAGAGAGAGAAATAAATAAATAAATAAATAAATGCCGCCATATACCGGGTGTCTTTTCGAATGCCTCTGTTTCTTCTCCTCATCATCACCCCAGATATTTTGCCCCGGAGGCAAACTGTTCAAACCAACGTCTTTTCCATTTTTTCTGATTTAGTTCTTTTCCTTGTGCAGGAATAGGAAGTGGTTTCAAGCAGAATCTAGCTGGAATCTTGGAGGAACCAGGGAAAAAGGTTACCCCTAGTGTAAATGATTTCTCCTCAACAATTCTTTCTATGCCTCGTGTGGCAAAATCTATTTTTGCAAAATTTTGTCTCCATGCATGAGGGCTGAAAAAATTGTTTTTTGAACAAAGGCCTCAGTATAAGGGGCAGCGTTGTTAATTGTGCCACAATTCAGCACAATCACAACCACAATCAATCACAAGCCTTGAGATTGCAATTGGACAATAAAATGTTTTACTCATTGCAATAGTGATTGGGATTGTGCATTCATTTTTTTAAGGCTTGCAATTGTATTTGTGATTGGCGTGAAACTGACGTAATCACAATCACAACTAAGTTCAGACCAAATAAGTTCAGAAGTGTATGAATTCTTCTTGACAAAATTGATTGCAACCATGATCAAAATTCAATGGGAAATGATCAACTTTTTTCAGTAACTGTGCAAGTTGCTAGATGGAAGAGGATATATTGATTTTTATGACTTCAACTTAAGACAGGTTTGCACAGAAATAAGCTTATATAGTACTTTTTATCGGTATTTGCACTTGGATGAATGATTTTTGGCATTCAAAGATTGAAGAATGCTTCAGAAAAGCTATTCAGTTTGATTCACAATTTTTGGTACTGTATACTTCTTTTTCATGGCAGATGTTTTCTGTTTTTGTCTGGTGAGAATCCAAATGGAATGAGAAAAAATGACATCCATATGATGCAAAAGTATTGTTTTGAGTAGATTTTCTTTGTTATTCTCTTCACCCATTCAAACTATTGATATTTTGGAAATAATTTGAGATTAATCAGGCATGATGACACTAAACATGAGAAGCACAAGATGGAAATGTTGAAAAGGGTTGCAATAACCCTTGTGATTGCAAGAAAAAAAAAAAGGAATCCGTCGTGATTGTGATAAGGGGATTGTTTCTGTGCTGGATTGTGATTGCAATTGTGAAAGTATATTTTGGATTGTGATTGACAACCTTGGTCAGGAGAAAGTCAATTTTTTTCTTGTAATCCTGCAGAAAATATTGGCTCAAAAATAAAAATAAAAATTATTTCCTGGGTGGCCTTTTTTTGTGCATTCCCAGCATATATAGGATTTGCATTGGGGATTTTTTGAGACAATGGTATTTTTCTGAACCCAGATTTTTCCAGACTTTGGCCTTGGCAACCTGGGGGCATTTCAGTGACCTTTGATCAAACTGAAATGCCCCTTTGCCCAGAAAAAAAAATCCTGAATTTGCTAAATTACAGCCAGGAACCCTCCGCGTGAAAATTGTTCAATGAATGGATAATTATTCAGGAAGAGGCTGGATAGCTTTTGCTTTAAATTGTATATATTTACTAATAGCTGGGTGTAGTGGATTTTTTCAAAAAATGACAGTGTATTTTCAGATGTCACTGTTTCCTCTTCTCATCATCACCCCAGATATTTTCCCTTAGAGGTAAACTATTCAAACCAATCCATTTTTGCCTGATTAAGTCTTTGCACGAGAAACCGTCAGTTCAAGATATAAAGACGTGATTTCAAAATGTTTTGAATCTTGAGAACACTGACAAGCAGCTAATAATGCAAATTTATCCATCAATCAAAATGGGGAGAAAACTTTTTTCAGAAAATGATTTTTTTTTCTTTTGGAATGAAGAGATTTGGAAGAATCCTTTGAATTTGGCAAAAGATGGAATAATTAATCTCCGGCAGAAAATTAGGACCCGGAAAATTTCTCCTTCACTTTAATTAATCATGCGTTGAATCCGGAAGTTTTTTTTTCTGTTCGCAATTTCAACACGCTTCTTGCCGCGATTTTCCTCATCCGCCTTTTGCAGGAAATGTAGGTGAATGAACTCTTTCTTGAAGCTTATATGATTATTGTCTGTCTGCCGTGATGAGAGATCCAGTATTCATGATTTTTACTTCAAAATCACGCCACAAACAGCATGAAGTATATGTTTTCAATTCTTGGATTGTCCGTAGAACATCTTTATGTTATTGCAAACTTTTCGAAAAGACAACTAAAATATTAGAAGGTGTGAATCTCATTGTGCTGAAGTTACGGAAAGTCCTTATTCCATTCAATTACCATAGCTTTTCTGAGTAAAATATGAAATCCAATTACCATAGCTATTCTGAGAAAAAAATTTGAAATCCCTCAAGGCTAATCCTATGAAAGGAATTTGTGTCATCAATTTGTGCTTTGTTTCCTGCTTTGAAGTGATTGAATGTCTTTGAGGGGAATTGGGTTGGGTGGGGAGGGGGCTTGGATGACGGAGTCTTGGTTGTGCCTTGTGAACGCTGAAAAGCAGCAAATAAAGCGTTCTGTTCATTCATTCATTCATTCATGAAAGGAATTTGAAAAAAATGCCACACAGCAGTCAAGGATCTTTTTTTTCAATTTTTCTGCCAAAGAAGAAACAATTTTTTTTCCAGACTGTTGCTCTTCTGGTAAAACTTGTTTTTTTTCATTTTTCATTTCTTGGGGCGCAAAATTGTGCAACTAAATGCCTGCTGCACTGCTGCCCAAGGCGTAAAAACCTTGATCTGGGCAAATTCCTCTCCCACATAAATCAAGGTTTGTATTTCACTCATGGGCATGATACTTGAGTGATTATGGTATTCTACATTCACCCAGCTGTGGTTTGCTGGAGGAATAATGAATAAAGACATCATTGTGCATAAAAATGCAAATTTGGGAAAAATAGCACCTAAAAATCAGGAGTGTATTTTGCTATTTATAGTCATGTTATCTGGAGAATTTTGGTGCTGGAAATTGATCCACTGGTTTGTTGGAGAAGTAATGAATAAAATTTGAAAAAACTGGCAATTTTCCTGCAGCTTCCAGCCACTTTAAAAATGCACTTTTGGAGAAAGGCATTTCAACTGAACTGCAACTGTGAGACCCCCAGATGCGGACACATTGACAGGTGGAGAATTCACTATAGGGACATTTATTTTCCAATGAAAAGGGCATAAAAAAGGTCCAACATACAGACACTGACTCAACATGAGGAAATTGCATAATAAAATTTCCAATAAATTTTAGGAAAATTAACTTGTAATAGGCTTGATTGCAAGAAACATACATTTCCAACCATAAGATTCATGTAAGAAAATTTCTTTGGTACTTTTCCCATCACTTTCCCACCCATTCAGCTGAATTAAAAAATTACCTGTGGCAAAAAAGGGACTTCCTTCTCTTTTTGTGACTTGGACGTTATTTTCACAGATGCCAAGATTTCAATGAACTGTACACCAGTAAACTATTCGATGCTCCAAATGTTCTTATTGAGTTGAAAATATATTCACTGTATCAAATTCAAGTGGCAAAATATTTTTAAATGGAATTCTGAACAATATTTCTTTCATAAAACACCAATTGAAAATTATATAATGTAAGTCTATATGGGAAAACAAGACTTGACTTAGGGACAGTCGTGATGCACCAATTACATCCACATCTGGGGGTCTCACAGTAATTTCATTAGTTCCAGTGTCCAGTTGAAATGACTCTAAAAATTATAGCAATGTTCTGATGCACATGGCTTTCATATTTCTGAAACTGTATCTCATATCAAGCACTTACCTTGCTGTTTGTATTCAGGATGACGAGCCCCACCAAACATGCGCTTGTTATTGTTGCCATTATTATGTTTTCTCGTCAAGGGTCTCCCGGGTTCAGAAGAGTCTTCCTCATCCTCCAAGGACCCGGAACCAGCACCCTTACCGAAAATTGACTGAGAACCCTGACTGCTGACAGGGGCTTCACTGCTGACTTCTTGCTGCCAACTGCCTTCATCATTATTTGGCCTTTGCTGGTTCTTGATGCCTGGCGATTTTCCTTGGGTTTTCTTGTGATGCCTGACCACTGCGGATGGCCCATTGTACCCGGGTTTCAAAACTGGGTAGAACATGGTCTCAGTTTCCAGGCTGCTGCTGCCAGAGTCCTTGCCAAAGGCTGATGCTGGACTGTTGTTGTTTTGGTTGTTGTTGTTTAGCAACAACATTGCAGCACGAGCATCAGATAAGGTGAATTTGGCTTGCTGCTTTTGTTGTGATGG